GTTTATGAGCAGAAGCTATCTGTACAGCTTGTTTCAGAATCAATAGGTCTCCAGTTTTGCTATCAACTACAAGACACCAGAAGATGTTTGGATAGATAAACCCATTGATTATTATTTTTTTCATGTTTTTGGTTGTGATGTATATTCTTTAATTCCAAAGGAGAAAAGAACTAAGTTTGATGAAAAATCCAAAAAGTGTATTTTTCTTGGCTATACTGATGGTATAAATGGGTACGGATTATGGGATCCTACTGACCACAAGGTTATAGTAAGCCGATATGACCAAAAACCTGAAATTGTCCAAGAGATTGAATAATTTTTAAGTGATCTTGAATTAAGAAGATCAGTAAACCTAAAAAGACTAATGTGAGGCTTAACAATTATGTCTTGTCCTATGCTTGCCTAACAGAGGACGGTGACCCCGTTTCTTTTCGTGAGGCATGTAAGGTTGGTGAAGCCGGTCAATGGAGAGCATCTATGGAAAGGCAATTGGTTGCAGGTAAGTCTTCAAGAAGAAGAAATGTCTTGATGTTATTATTGAAAGATACAGAGCTCGATTTGTTGTGAAAGGTTATGCTCAGAAATTCGTTATTCATTTTGACGAGATTTTTTCTCTTGTTGTACGCATGTCCACTATTAAAATTGTTTTGCTATGGCTGCTGTTTTTTAGTTAGAGTTGGAACTATTTGAAGTGAAAGCGGCATTTTTACATGGTGACTTAAAAGAGGAAATTTATTTAGCCCAACCTGAGGGTTTCATTGAGGAAGGTAAAGAGAATTTGGTTTGTAGGCTCAATAAATCATTGTACGAGTTGAAGCAGGCATTGAGGTGTTGGTACAAACGATTTGACTCTTTCATGTTAAGCTTGAATTTTTGTAGATGTAAAGCTGACCATTGTGCCTATTTTCATGGTTGTGGTGATGGAAGCTTTATTATCTTGTTGTTATATGTCGATGAAATGATTGTTGCAGAACCAAACAAGGAGAATATTGCAACACTTAAAGCTCAGATGGCTATGAAATTTTAGATGAAATAATTGGGAGTCGTTAACCGAATCCTTGGGATGAGTGTACTTAGAGATAGAAAGAACAAGAAAATCCGATTAACTCAGAAGAGTTATGTGTAGAGGGTTCTGCTGTGCTTTAATATGCAGAATGCCAAACCAATTAGTACCCCATTACCTATGCATATGAAGTTGTTTTCGAAAAAATGTCCTAACACCGAAGCAGAGAAGACGCAAATGTCTCGAGTAATGTATTCATTTGTAGTAGGGAGCCTCATGTTTGCTACGGTTAGCATCAGACATGACATAGCACAAGCAGTGGCAATTGTGAGCAGATATATGGCAAATTCTGGCCATGATCACTGGACCGCTATAACATAGATCATTCGGTATTTGAAGGGAACTTGGGATGCCGGTATTTGTTATAGTGAAATGGATTTGAATTCACTGGTTATGTCGATGCGAACATTGCAGGTGACTTGGATAAAAGAAGGTTTACTACCGGATATATTTTTTCTTTAAGAGGTAGTGGAGTTAGTTGGTTATCAAGGTTATAGTCTATGCTGGCATTGTCTTCTACAGAGGCTGAGTATATATTACTTACTCATGTAGCTAAACATGTTACTTGGTGAGTTCCGAGTTGTGCAATAAGGTATTCAGCTTCACTGTGATAACCAGAGTGCCTTGTTTCTAACAAGGAATCCAATATTCCATGATAGGACTAAACATATTGATGAGTATCACTTTATTTGTGATGTCGTTGAATACGAAAAAAAATTATTGTAAAAAATTCATATTGATGACAATCTAGCATATATATTGACTAAGCCCATTAAGAAGGGGAAGTTCACTTAGTGCATAACTTCTTCGAGGCTTGTGGTTACTTGATGATTTGGAACTGGTGTATAATAATTTTTTATGCAAATTAGTCCGAATAGAAACATGTGTTCAAGTGAGAGAATATTGGATACGTGAAGCCTATTTCCATAATATTAGTGAATCCAAGTAATAAGGGATGAGGAATAATCCTTCTTTGATAACGAGTGGCACGTGATCTCATAGAGAGATAAACTTCCTCACTCCAAAAAAATAGGAATGGGGATGAGAGGGCTATCACCTGATGGACATTTGGGCTTTCTTCTCTATATAAGTTGTCTTTTTACAGAGAGAAAACATTTGGAAGAATTATGCAAAAGAGAATGGTTAGTTCTTTAGTCTTTTTGGGTGGGTATTCTTGACAGAGAAAGACTCTATTTTAGAGCTTGGGAGAGAGAGAGATCTTGTAATCCCTTGTATTCTTCGTGCTTTTATGGTGTTTTTATGATTAGTGAAAGAGAACTTTGCTGTCCTGTGGACGTATGCAACTTACTAAACCACATAAATATTTGTGCTTTTATTTTTTTATTTTTTTATTTTTCTGCACTATTTTTCTTTCCCTTATTTTTATCAAACCTTGGTGTTTTATTCTCAACAAGAAGAACAAATTTATGGTGGATTTTTGAGGTCCATCTCTGTAATGTAACATCGATGCATTATATAAACATTTATATTCTAGGTGCTCGTCTCTATGTATCACTCATGGGTTAACAGGGGACAGAGAGTTAGAAACCCCTCAAGGCCATACAATTTATGTGCAAACCAGAGAGAGAGATGCTAGGACACGGTTTCTATGAGTCCATGTAGAAATGAGTCACCTCTTTAAAAATCTATTTTTGAGATGGATTTTTGGACTTAATATTTAAGGGCACATAATCTTTAACAAGGAGATCATGAATATGAAAAATAAATAAAATTTTAAAACTAGAAATAATAATTTTATTGAGAAAACATTTAGACCGTAAGTTTCAATTGTCTTTTCTAAAATATGAGGTCCAGCTCACATGAAGCAATTTTCTTATATGTTATTCTCATGCATTTTGACAAACATGATAGAGAGTGGAGAGAGAGAGTCCTTTGGGAATGAACCTGAAAGAGATCAAGCATTCTCCTTTTTTTTCTTAAGCAGCCTTCTAGATCTTATATTCTCAAAGAGAAATAAATATTTATAGAGATGGACATAAATGATTAGAACTAGAAAGGTATATGAAGAGAGCATTTACTTTTAATACAAGAACGTCACAGTCACTATTGTATAGTAAATTTCAAATCTAGTAGGTGTGGGAGTGTTATTGACTAGACTCAAAGTTTTAAAAATAACTCAATCTCAAACTCTATGACATACTCCCAATCTATTCATTTTTACATCCAATGGCCAGGAGAAATTGTGACTTATTTGCAACAAGGATAACTAGTGTCATATTATAAAATCCCGAATTGGTATTGTATGCTATAACCATTTTCATTCCGTACAAAGATGTCATAATCACTCTAAATTGTTAGATGTTAGATTATAAATCTTAGGATGTGTTTCAAAGATTGAAAATTTTCTTTTAAACTTTGAGCTTGATCAATAGTAGATCCCCAACTATTTGATTTTAGATGTAACAATCACTAGTAATTACAACTTCCTTGTACCAAAGATATATAACCTTATTTTATATTTTAGTTCAGAATTTAAGCCTACAACAATGTTTAATTAAAGGAAAGTATACAACAAGGCTATTTATTTTTTATTCAAGGAGGTCACAATTACTTATGTCTGTCAAATTTCAAATCGGGTAGTTGTAGGAGTGTCATTAACTAGACTCAAAATTTAAAAGAGAAATTCAAACTTTGTAATGCACCCCAAGTCTTCCAATGTGAAATCTAATAGATAATAGTAATTGTGACCTCCTTGTAATAAAGATAAATAACTCCTTATTGTATAATTACTTAGTTAAACTCTAGAGAGTTTTAGCTTTATAAGGTCATTAAAACTATTATGGCCATTCTTTAAAAAGAAAATGTTTATAGAAGGTTGACAACGTAAAATACAAAATTAAGGTGCACCTCAAAAATCCATCGAAAAAAGTTATTTGGACATTGGAAAATGATTTATTTGATCATTTCGACATCAAGATATATAAATATGAAAAAGTAAATTAAAGTCCAAAAAATAGTGCATCTTGCAACACATTACCTAGACCATCCATTTTCAAGATTTTCATGTGTTTATAGATGTGCTTAATTTGAACTATTTTCAGAACATGATTTTATAATCATAGATGAAAATAGAATCTCAAACCATTCTAAAAAGGAAAATTGTTTCATGCGGGCTGGACCACATGACTACATATGCGGTCCAAAAAGGGTAAAGCATCTATCTTAAAGATAGATGCAAGTAGGTGTTCCATCTAAAAACAATAGCAACTAATGGTCCAAATGTTTTTTTACTAAAATTATTATTACTAAATTTTAAATTTATTTATTTATTCATATTCATGATCTCCATTTCAACTATTACATGTCCTTAAAAATTAAGTTAAAAAATCCATTTCAAAAATAGATTTATTAAGAGGTCCACATTTCCACATATGCGGGCTTGGCAGCATAGAAAGATCCTTCTAAAAATTTTCAACATGAAACTTGTACCTTAAGATAGTTTGGAAGTTTACCTCATTGTGCAAACCAAAAACGCCATGTAATAATTTGATGGGATATAAGGAAAAAGTTTATATAGTACGAAGGCTCTAAACAATCAAATTAGAGCCCATCTCAAAAATTTCACTAGCAAAGGTTGTTTTGATGATCAAATATCTTCAAATTGGTCATCTCGACATCAAGATGCATGAAGATAAGAAAAAAATAGATTTCAAATTATGGAAGTAGGGCATCTTGTAGTGTATTTTTGGATTGACAATTTTTAATATTTTCAAGTTTTCATAGATACTCTCAATCTACGTTATTTCTAAAGCTTTAAAGTTTATAAGTAGAGATGGAAATATATTTTAAGACTATCACAAAGATTTTTAGCATTAAAAGTTTGAAACCACATTTCTTGACACTATTTGAAAGTGCGCTCTACTTTGATTGTTTACAGCCTCGGCTCTATACAAACCCCACCCGGGATATAAACCCTAGAAAGCTGGAACCCTTTCAAGGCCAAAACTGGAAACTCACTCTAAAAAGGAAGCTCCAGAGTCTAGACTGTAGTATTGCATTCATTCAACTTTTTGGTATGAAAGGATGATGTTGGGCATAAGGAAATTTTATCATTTTGAGAACCCAGTCACTTTTGGTGGTCGATTTAAGCCTGATTTGTTTCCAAAGACCCAGAAGTGTCCATCTCTCGTTAGAGCTTCTAGACAAGTGAAAGCATTTGCTACCATGGTTAAAGCCATTAGAATCCATGAGAATGGAGGACCTGAGGTGAGTCTTTTTTCTTTAATTTTTGCTGTTTGTTTGTGTTATTCAATTTGTAAATTTTTATTTGGGCACAGGAATTGTCGGTTCTATTGTGGCTTCTGTAGATGTATTCATATTGCTTGATTGAAAGTAGTTTGGAGTCTTTAGGCTGGTCTTTTATTTATTTATTGATGGGGATAATATTTTAGATTGATCTTCTGTGTTTCAGGTTGATGGTTTGTTGTAGTTTTGGTTTTTCATTGCTATTTCCCCTTTTTGGTTCATTTTCATCTTTTTCGAAAATGGGTTTTCTTTTCTCTACCTGAATTTCGTTTATGTAACTCATTTTACTATTATTTGCTTAATTTATCTTTTTGGGTTTTTTCTCTCTCTTACGAATTGATTATTTCTTGTAGTTATGGCCTATTCATTTTAAATATTGTAAACCCCTCTTGTTGTTTCACTTTTCTTTTTGTGATTTTTTTCTCTGTCTTTTTGTCCATTTTCCTTTTGAGGACTTTAACACTGAGTAACCCTAGAGCTGACGTTACTTCAATCCTGTGGAAAGAATTATAAAATTTCCATTAATTCATTTCTATGTTCTGATTTGTATTTCTATTATGCGGAAGTTTGAATTTTTCTCAAGTATAGAACTGAGAAATTTTGGATTTAGTTAGTTGGCTTGGTTTTTTCTAGTTTCTATTGGTAGTTTATGTATAATTGATCGGGATGATTCTCAAACTGGATCCCTTTTGTAGAGAAAGATGGATGCCACAACATCGGAACAATCCGCTTCTCAATTAAAAAGAAGAAAAACAACCAAGAAGAGGTGGAAGAAAACTAACATTCACTAAGAAAATATGAGGTACACAAGATTAACCTTATGTGCCCCAGATTAATCTTGAGGTACACAAAGTTAATCTTGACACCCAAGATTAAGCCCAGGGTACACAAAGGCATTACAATCTTGATACTCAAGATTAACCTTCAACATGTGACCTAATTTTCTCACCATATACCTCTCTTTAAATAGAGGTTTTTACAACCATATTTCCTACAATAACTACCTACTTGTAACTATAACTACTAACCACCTAGTAGTTTTACAACTTCCTACCACACAAACTTACAAGTGGAACCTTATTACATCACTCATGATAAAATAGCATAAAAATTAATATACTTTCTAGAAAATACACTTTCACAATTTTAACACTTGTATCTTGCTTCTCTTATAAAAAAAAACACGCTTTTATCGTTCTTTTGCTTGATATTAAGCTTTATTCGTCGTATGCTTGAACTAGTAAATATCAAGAACATGATTTGTTTAACTGTTCGAGATTTTATCGTTAGAATTTATCCTTTTTTTCCACTCTTCAGCCTTTATGGACTGCCATGGTGCCTTGAGCACTTATTAATATTTCTGCATATTCATTTATTAAATTAATAGTCATTTCCCAAAATTTAGGCTCAACCACAATGGAGTAGTGAGCTTCTTTGTTTAGGTTCCCCACTTTCCCCAGAGTAATCCAAACATTTCCTAGTGGCCAACGCAGCATTGAATGGCTTGGTTGTATCATATAAAGAACAAGGGATCACCATAGCAGGTTGCTCAGTTTATTTAGATGCCAATGCTGCTTGTGTGACAACCCGTCCTCCCAGCAAGGATTCTTGATCTCGTCATCTTTGTTTTTTTTCCTATTTATTGATCTCCTTCTAACTAAATTTTTGTTCATTTGCCATATTACCTTGATGAGTGCTTTTTTACAATTTTTTACATTCTTTTGAACACTAATACGATGTTATTTTAGCTGAAATACTCTTTAACATGTCATTAAACCCATAATATTGGATAATGTGGATAATTGGTGTGCCCTACCTGTACAGATTGTTAGTCAGTTATTTGAATGGTTTATCTAGGTTTAATTTGTTTAGGTAGGAATTATGGATTGCAGAACGCATCTTTGTTTTGAGAAAGTTATTAGTATAACCAGGAATCCATCTGCACCATAGTATGGTTATCTTATTTCTTTAAGGAATGATGGCATACAGTTCCTCATCCCCTTTTTCTGATTTTACATATGTTTTTGAAGTACTGGATGTAGGTGGGAGTTAGAATACCTCATTTTCAAGTAGGTGTGCATCATAGAGTTAAATAACTGGTCAACTACAAGCAAAAATACCTTGTTAGATTAGATGAATGATACTTTTCTTGTATTGATATTTTGTTTTTCTCTCACCTTTTGGTTTGACAAAATGAAGCTCTGGTTAATGATGGGGGCCTTGTTTCCAACTAGGAGTTTATTTTTTAAAGTTTAACCTCAATTTTTGCTCTGCCTTGAATCAGTTTTTGAAATCTTATTTTTTGTTTTACTTATAAAATGGCCAATCCATTGAGAAAGAACTATTTCAATGTTAATATTGTTCATATGATTGCAGGTCCTTAAATGGGAAGATGTGGAAATAGGGGAGCCTAAGGAAGGTGAGATTCGTGTTAAAAACAAAGCTATTGGGTTGAACTTCATTGACATCTATTACCGCAAGGGAATTTACAAGACGGACTTGCCTTTTGTTCCAGGTACTTCTATAGTTCTATTGCTAGGGTAACCCATTGAGAAAAAGAGGAAACTATTTTTCCGTTAAGATTGATTATGTCAATTGTTTTGTAGATTGTACAACATTCTTCCGACTTTTTAGACTGTTTTTTTTCCTTATATTGCTAATTCTCATTCCAATCTTCTTATTCTGCTCAAGTTTAAATTTATTTTGCTCACATAGATCTGCTCAATCAATGCACTTTATCACAAAGTACATCCTTGTAATAAAGAACAATAGCATGCATATTCCTGTTCTCGTCTGTCTAGTAGGTCATGATAAACTGAAACAATATGCAAGAGGTGTAATTTGTTGTTTATTTGGTTTTGGGTCGCATGCAGTTGTTTTGATAAACATGGTTATGCTAACAACTTTATTACACCAATCAAGTACCACTTAAAACGTGATTCCCATATATACTTCACAAACATCTCCCACACACACGTGTATGCACTTACACACGGATTGGTGCAGTGCCTCTAGATGGCACATTGTCATCCTTTTAACAATTGTAGGGGGTCGCATTACCCACCTTGGTTGTGATATGCGCACAGGGACATTAAATGCTTGCAACAGCTACCATAGACTATTGTCTTGTACCAACAATATGTAGTTTATCTCTTACTATTTACATAGTGCGTGCTGAGTCAAAATTGTTTGTTGAAAGGCATAATGTTTCGCTGTGTCTAAAAATCTTAATCAGGTCTAAAAACCTCCAACACATAGAGTATTGTATCATAACCCGTACATATTGTATTCTATATAGAAGGTATCGTAGTGTTTCCCATAAAAATATGATGTATTTGGTTTTCTGAAATGCACTCTCTCTCTCTCTCTCAAAAGCAAAATATGCCATAGGTTTTCATGGTGTTTGTTGGCAGGTTTGGAGGCTGCTGGAGTGGTAACAGCTGTGGGTCCCGGATTAACAGGTCGGCAAGTAGGGGACTTGGTTGCATATGGTGCTGGTCCATTGGGTGCCTATGCTGAAGAGCAAATCCTGCCTGCAAGTATTGTGGTGCCCATTCCACCTTCTATTGATCCTATGGTTGCAGCTGCTGTTATGATCAAGGGTATGACTGCTCAGGTCCTTGTTCAGAAATGCTTTAAGGTTAGTTCCAACATCTATATCACTTTGGGAAAGTTTATTGTGATCTGTGATTATAATAACAGTATGTTCGCGAGGGTCATTGTGAATCAAGAGATGTACAGTTGGATTAGTGACATGCTTGGTGGTATCCACTCTCCTTCCATCACCATCCGAGCTATTGATGGGATGGTGATGACCCTTTGACTGTGCAGTGACATGATCATATGGATCACCATAGGATTCAAACTTGGGATTTAATGTTGCAGTCTTCAACACCTTAACCAGAAACGCCGCAGCCCGAATCTTAAATCATAGCATGTATTCCCAGGGCTATGTTACATGGTACTCCAAGGCTATATCCACATCCGTTCCTTCCGTTAAATAGTTGCTGACTAATTGTAGTGGGTCCACATGGATTTTTACCTTGCTATGGCTGGTCTCGAACTTTCATCAGCAGGGTTGGATTGGGGATTGCTGGCGGACTTTCCCATTTAGATATGCTTATGATTGGCTTACAAATTTGGAAAATTTATAGAAGAACCGGAAAACATTTGTGGTATCACGGTATGCTCCATATATTCCCCAAATTTACACGGAGGTCCTTCTTTGTCGCCTTTTGTTGTTTCCAATGTTGCCCCCGATCTGATGTTTGCAACATCAGACCGATTTTATGTCATCTTTTTAAATTTTTTCAAAGTGTATGGCTTTCTGATAGCCTGGGGGTCAATTTGGGGTCGGTCCGATGTTCCAAACATTGAACTGCCCTAAAATTGGGATGTTCAATGACCCAAACATCGGATAGACCCATTGTAGGTCTCTTTCCCTGGTTTGTGTTGGTCCAATGGTTTACACATCAGACCACAACATTGCCGTTATTGTTCGTTTGATAGCAAACATCGACTGCCCTTTTTGCTCTTTTTTTTTTGGTCAAAGTAGTCGGTACGATGTTTCGAACATTGGATTGGCATTTTCCTTTGGTTTACGTGTGGTCTAATGTTTCAGTCTTTTTTTTTTTACGAGGGGGTTTTACATTCATGGCCATGGATGGATGGATGAGAGTGGTGGGCAGCATGCATACCCACATCATGCATGATGACATCAGTCACCACTTCCCTTTGTCTTTTACTTGGTTTCTTCCACTCTCTATATAAGCTCTCTCTCAAGCATGAGGGTCTTTCTCTAAAAAAAAGAAGGAAAAAGCTGGTCTGATGTTTGATGTTTGAAACAGTGATTGGCTTAAAAAAAAAGAAAATGTAATCTGATGTTTCAAACATTGGTCAAACATTGGACCACTACTAAATGGAATAATAAGAATAATTTTCTAGTTCGAAGTTTGAAACATTGCGACCAACCCAAAACAAGGGAAGAGACCTGCAATGGGCTTTTTGATCTTTGGATATCGAACAACCCAACTTTAAGGCAGTCAATGTTTGAAATATCAAACTGATCCTAAATTGATCCCCAAGCTATTGGGTAGCCTTACAATTCAAAAAAATAAAATAAAAATATGGCTTGATGTTTGCAACATTGGATTGGGGCAAAATTAGAAAAATAGAAAAAGGTGACAAAGTAGCACCTTTTCGTAATTTTGGGGAAATATAGAGCATCCTGTAATGCTACAAATGTTTTCTGTCTTTCTAATTACGAATGAAGGATTGTACCCCTGCATCATATAGGAATTGTACTTAGGGGAATTAACAAAAAAATTCCAGTTTATTTTTGAAATTTAAAAATAATCTCATATATTTTATATACAGAAAAAGATTGTATAAGGTTGCAACCTTAAAATGTAGAATTAAGGTGCACTTAAAGAATCGATCACAAAAGGTTGTTTTAGAGTTGGAACTCCATCTTGACGTTGAGATGTATGAATATAAAAAAACACAAAAATTTCGAGTCCTAAAAATAGTGTATCCTGCAATGCAATATATTATATGGATCGTGCATTTTCAAGATTTTTATGTGTTTATAGATCTGTTTGATTTGAACCATTTTTGGAGTCTAAAATTTTACAATTAGAGATGAAAATGGACTCCGAGGCTACCCTAAGAATTTTTTACACTAGAATTACATTTTATGATAAAATTTGGTAGTGCACATCACTTTGATTGTTTCAGGTTGCAATCTTATGCAAACCACACCTTTTGTATTTTACTCTTAAATCCCGCTTTTTTATATTGAATAGTATGCTTCAATTTTATTATTATTTCGTTATATCCAATTAAGATCAAATGTTGGGCATCCATATTTACCAACATGACGTACTTGTAAATTTTTAAAAAAATATGATTAAATAAAATAAAAATAACCAAAATACCCCTACAAATTTCAAAAGTTTAGGGGTATATTATTTTTTATTTTTGAAATATGTTATGATATACCAATGTGAGATGGTGAGAACTATTGATTCCCCGAATTTGAACTTGATTTGATGTATAGAAAAGAAATTAAAGTAAAATACACTACTTACTCTCCAAAAATGGAACAAAACATAAAATATGCAGGGCTATTTTAAATTTTGATAATAAAATCAGATTCTTTTCATAAATTTCCCTTGTATTTACTGAGTGCTGACAATTTATGGGCCTATAAGCAGTCAACTATAATGCAATTAATTGCAGTTTCTAGTAGATGTGGTGGGAATTGTTCTCTCTCTCATGTTTGTCTAAAAACATAAAATCACAGGTGGAAAAGGGACATACGGTTCTTGTTCACGCAGCAGCTGGGGGATGTGGATCTCTATTGTGTCAGTATGCCAATGCTCTTGGTGCCACTGTTATTGGGACTGTATCGACTGAAGAGAAGGCTGCCCAAGCCTCTGAAGATGGATGCCATTACCCCATAATCTACACAAAGGAAGACTTTGTTTCTGCAGTGAAGAAGATAACTAATGGTGAAGGAGTCCATGTGGTTTATGATTCAGTTGGAAAAGACACCTTCGAGGTAAAATTTTAGGGCTCAAGTTCCACTTATCCTTGCTTAAGTGATGTAGACCTGTGTTTTAAGTTCTGACGAATGTCCAATGTTAATCTCAAACTCCCTCTCTCTCTCTCTCTCTTCTGTTTGTCTGTGCATTCACATTTTCTGAAATCTTTTGCTTATTGCATCCAACTCCTGTGACAAAAAAAAAGAAAGTGCACATATGGCACTGTATTAACCAGGACTTTTGGTGCTAGTGTTGCTGCAACTGTGTATCATCTCAGTCTCGTTTTCTTTAAAGCTTATCTTTTAAATTTGTATATCCTGTTTTTTATTCTACTTGCTCGGTACGTAATGTATTGAGCTCATAATATTGACCTCTCTCTCTCTCTCTCTCTCTCTCTCTCTCTCTCTCGTACGTACGTACGTACGTAGTGTCGTAGTAGTACGTTCGGTTACGTACGTAGTAGTACGTAGTACGTCGTACGTCGTACTCTCGTCCGTCCGGTACCCGTACCGTACCGTACCTACCTACCTA